GAATAATGCACTCCCAAAGGAAGATGTAAATGGGCATGTAGTGCTGTAGAAATGGCTGTCATCAGTATCGGTCCCAGTCCGCAGGATGGACGATGCTATGGGCACGCTGGTGGGTGGTTCTGGAGGCTCTTAGGACATCCTGACCGGCGTGGAACACAGCTGAAGTGACGGCACGACCAAATGTGACAAGCAATAGTGGCAATGCGTTCGGAGCATGAGCTCCTTCTTCAGGCAATTTTGCATCTTGGAAAGCCCATAATCTCCCATTGAATGCTGAAATCACGAAAAATTTGTGTAGTCATCTTGACACAGAAATTCTCCAGTTTTTGCATCATTTTGTGCATCTTTAGTGTGGGGTAGGTCAGGGATAGAGCCCTGCTTGTTGGGGAGAGAGCAGCAGCAGTACTAGGGAGAGGTGCCTGACCAGGGAAAGAGAAGGTTTCCCCTTACAGGGTATTCTGCATACCTCCCAACTGTCCTGGAATGGGCAAAACCAGGGGCGGACTGACCATTTGGAAACTCGGGCACTGCTCGAGGGCCCGGGATCAGTAGCAGTCCCCATGAGATGCCCCAGGTACCTTTTTCATAGGCTTTTTTGAGTTTGGGCAAGGACACAGGGGCCCCATGATCCTCTATTGCCCGGGGGCCCCATGAGTTGTCAGTCCGCCCCTGGATCGTACTGACCTGAACCCTGAACCTGTGTACCATTGTCTTCTTAGGACTCATGTACGCTGCAGCTGCTAAACTCACATTTAGGAGCTGTTCAGCGTTTTTTTTCAGCAGCCCCTGAACTCACCCTAATGTTTTCCTATGTGTCCGTGTACATATCGTCGTTTCCAGTCGTTTACAGTAGTTTTTTGAACGCAACAAACTTGCATTCAGACGTCGATTTTATCAGCGCTTCAAGCGCAAAACGCTTGTAAACGCAGCTAAACGCGTCTGAACGCGGCAAATCACAAGCGTTTGCGTTTGAAATTTTTTTTTAACTCTTCCAGTTCCCAATGCTGTCCAGAGCCTTTTTTCATCATGCAAACTGTTTTCAAGGTGCTCAGATGGACAAAACACTGAACACAGGATGTGCCTATTAAGTTGCCAGACATTGTAATGACCAATTCACACCTCAGACCTCTCCCACCCTTGGAAACAAAAGATATTTTAATGACCATTCACACCTCAAATTCCTCATGAAGACCCCCTGCCAGGTGGCCTTAATGACTCCCTCCACCAGCCACCTTTCCCACCCTTGGAAACAAAATAAATGTTAATGAGCAACTCACACTAAGCTGATCTCAACACATACTTCTGTCTCTGCTTCTACTCTCTATATTTATCTGAAACAGTCTGAAATAGTTAATAATTTACCACTTTTCAGTGCATTCTGGGCATGTGGAAGGTTGTCCTGTGCTTATCTTTAAAAAAATGCTTCTAAACGCAAATGTGCATAAACACACATAAACGCGTTATGCAAACACAGCTAAACTGACATTTTTTAACCTACGTTTTACAGCAGTCAATTTCCATTGTTCAGAAATGTCCCGTATCCTGACTCTTCTATATCAATCTTCTTATCTTTACTTGGGTATCCTGATCAACATATCCTGACCTGTGTATCCTGATCTCAATGTCCTTTCCTGTGTATTCTGATCTCCATATCCCTATCCATGTTTCCTGATCTCCGTATCCCAATCCATGTATCCTGATCTCCATATCCCAATCCATGTTTCCCTGATCTCCATATCCCAATCCATGTTTCCTGATCTCCATATCCCAATCCATGTTTCCTGATCTCCGTATCCCAATCCATGTATCCTGATCTCCATATCCCAATCCCAATCCATGTATCCTGATCTCCATATCCCAATCCATGTATCCTGATCTCCATATTCTGATCTACATTTCCTAATCTCCATATCAAGACCTACAGTGCCTTGAAAAAGTATTCATACCCCTTGAAATTTTCCACGTTTTGTCATGTTACAACCAAGAACGTAAATGTATTTTATTGGCATTTGATGTGATAGACCAACACAAAGTGGCACATAATTGTCAAGTGGAAGGAATTTGATAAATGGTTTTTAAAAATGTTTACAAATAAATATCTGAAAAGTGTGGTGTGTATTTGTATTCGGCCCCCTTTACTCTGATACTCCTAACTAAAATCTAGTGGAACCAATTGCCTTCAGAAGTCATCTAATTAGTAAATAGAGTCCACCTGTGTGTAAATTAATCTCAGTATAAATACAGGTGTTCTGTGAAGCCCTCAGAGGTTTTTTAGATAACATTAGTGAACAAACAGCATCATGAAGGCCAAGGAACACACCAGACAGGTCAGGGATAAAGTTGTGGAGAAGTTTAAAGCAGGGTTAGGTTATAAAACATATCCCAAGCTTTGTACATCTCACTGTTCAATCCATCGTCCAAAAATGGAAAGAGTACGGCACAACTGCAAACCTACCAAGACATGGCCGTCCACCTAAACTGACAGGCCGGGCAAGGAGAGCATTCATCAGAGAAGCAGCCAAGAGGCCCATGGGAACTCTGGAGGAGCTGCAGAGATCCACAGCTCAGGTGGGAGGATCTGTTCACAGGACAACTATTAGTCGTGCACTCCACAAATCTGGCCTTTATGGAAGAGTGGAAGAAGAAAGAAAGCCATAAGAATTCCCCTTTGCAGTTTGTGAGAAGCCATGTGGGGGACACAGCAAACATGTGGAAGAAGGTGCTCTGGTCAGATGAGACCAAAATAGAACTTTTTGGCCTAAAAGCAAAACGCTGTGTGTGGCGGAAAACTAACACTGCACATCACCCTGAACACACCATCCCCACCGTGAAACATGGTGGTGGCAACATCATGTTGTGAAGATGCTTTTCTTCAGCAGGGACAGGGAAGCTGGTCAGAGTTGATGGGAAGATGGATGGAGCCAAAGACAGAGCAATCTTAGAAGAAAACCTGTTAGATTCTGCAAAAGACTTGAGACTGGGGCAGAGGTTCACCTTCCAGCAGGAAAACGACCCGAAACATCCAGCCAGAGCTACAATGGAATGGTTTAGATCAAAGCCTATTCATGTGTTAGAATGGCCCAGTCACAGTCCAGACCTAAATCCAATGGAGAATCTGTGGAAAGACTTGACAATTGCAGTTCACAGACGCTCTCCATCCAATCTGACAGAGCTTGAGCTATTCTGCAAAGAAGAATGGGCAGAAATGTCCCTCCTAGATGTGCAAAGCTGGTAGAGACATCCCCAAAAAGACTTTCAGCTGGAATTGCAGTGAAAGGGGGTCCTACAAAGTACTGACTCCGGGGGGCCGAATACAAATGCCGCCACACTTTTCACACATTTGTAAAAAATTTTGAAAACCATTTATCATTTTCCTTCCACGACACAATGATGTGCCACTTTGTGTTGGTCTATCACATAAAATCCTAATAAAATACATTTACGTTTTTGGTTGTAACATGACAAAATGTGGAAGATTTCAAGGGGTATGAAGACTTTTTCAAGGCACTGTGTATATATGTACTATGCCTATCCTAATCTGTGTACCCTGACCTGTGTATCCTAATCTGTGTACCCTGACCTGTGTATCCTAATCTGTGTACCCTGACCTGCATATCCTAATCTATGTACCCTGACCTTCGTATCCTAATCTGTATACCCTGACCTGCGTATTGATTTGCCTATCCTAATCTGTGTACCCCGACTTGTGTATCCTAATCTGTGTACCCTGACCTTCGTATCCTAATCTGTATACCCTGACCTGCGTATCCTAATGTGTGTACCCTGACCTTCGTATCCTAATCTGTATACCCTGACCTGCGTATTGATTTTTGCCTATCCTAATCTGTGTACCCCGACTGTGTATCCTAATCTGTGTACCCTGACCTGTGTATCCTAATCTGTGTACCCTGACCTGCGTATCCTAATCTGTGTACCCTGACCTGTGTACCCTGACCTGTGTACCCTGACCTGTGTATCCTAAATCTCTGTATCCTGACCTCTGTATCCTAATCTGTGTACCCTGACCTGCATATGCTAATCTGTGTACCCTGACCTGTGTATCCTAATCTCTGTATCCTGACCTGTGTATCCTAATCTCTGTATCCTGACCTGTGTATCCTAATCTCTGTATCCTGACCTCTGTATCCTAATCTGTGTACCCTGACCTGTGTATCCTAATCTCTGTATCCTAACCCGCGTATCCTAATCATGGTATCCTGACCTGTGTATGCTAATCTCTGTATCCTGACCTGTGTATCCTAATCTCTGTATCCTGACCTGTGTATCCTAATCTCTGTATCCTAATCTCTGTATCCTGACCTCTGTATCCTAATCTCTGTATCCTGACCTCTGTATCCTAATCTCTGTATCCTAATCTGTGTACCCTGACCTGTGTATCCTAATCTGTGTACCATGACCTGGATATCCTAATCTCTGTATCCTGACCTGTGTATCCTAATCTCTGTATCCTGACCTGCCTATCCTAATCTCTGTATCCTGACCTGTGTATCCTAATCTCTGTATCCTAATCTGTGTACCCTGATTAGCCTATCTCAAACTGTGTACCCTGACCTGTGTATCCTAATCGCTGTATCCTAACCTGCGTATCCTAATGATGGTATCCTGACCTGCCTATCCTAATCTCTGTATCCTGACCTGTGTATCCTAATCTGTGTACCCTGACCTGTGTATCCTAATCTGTGTACCCTGACCTGTGTATCCTAATCTGTGTACTCTGACAAGTGTACCCTGATGTTTTTACCCTGTCCTGTGTATCTTGACATGTGTACCGTGACCTGTATTTCCTAACCTCTGTATCCTGACCTGCGTATCCTGGTGTGTGTACTTTGACCTGTGCATCCCAATCTGTGAACTTGGCCTGTATATCCTCATATATAAACACGGTGTATGATGTAGTATGTATTTGCAGCACAGAAATCCACCCAGCAGTATCTATTTCCCTACTTCAGAAGGGTACCTTACACGTTCTGTACACTTACTCGTACACACAGTGGGCAGCAGTGATGATCCATTGTGCGCTGATCAGGGAGCCTCCACACAGGTGGATTCCTTGGAAGGTCAAACTAGCCTGCCAGGGCCACTGTCCCTCTGCTGAGATGTTGCCACCCACTATACGGGCCGAGGAAGCGTAGCTGGGCCGGTTACCACAGACTGATGGAAGAGCACAGACACAGAATTATTAGCAAAGTCCCACACAAAGCATAGAGGGCATCATAAAACAGGTCCATATCTGAATAGTACATACCAAAAATCCCACCGCTGTGCATCATTCAGGACCCCAGGGGCAATCCCACCACCTACTGGACTGCAAGGCATGCCCTTGTACCCGGATATGCTCAGGGAGGAGAATGGCCATAGAGGGAAGCAAGTTTGGGCAAGTTTGACTCCATGGAGAGGAGATTATGGACAGGGATGAGGTCAGGTGGGTTTGGATCCTATACTGAATTCACCTGAGTGATCCCCCCAGAAAGCTGTCATCTGTGATTGGCCAGTAAGAAGCAGCCAAGGCATTCTCCACCCGTAGCTGCACAGGGAATGCTGTGACCGCTTATGATTGGCCAAGCTGAACCAGAGTGGGAGGGGCTGCACTAGGAACCAATAAGGCTTTGCTCCATGCACATGGGTTGAGAGAAAGTAGAGGGAGCAGATTTGATGGCACTTGTCCAACCAGCAGGCTGTGGACGAGGGTGTGTGACAGCTGTAGCAGAGAAAGCAGTGTCATGCTGCTTGATGGTCATGTGACAACAGCAGGGCCGGGTCTAGATTGTCTGATGTGGGTGTGCAGTATAAAATGTCAGGGGGCAGAGAATAGGAGGTCAGTAGGGCGGTGTACAGGGGTCAGCAGGGCAGTGTACAGGGGTAAGTAGGGCGGTGTACAGGGGTCAGCAGGGCAGTGTACAGGGGTCAGCAGGGCAGTGTACAGAGATCAGTAGGGCGGTGTACAGGGGTCAGCAGGGCAGTGTACAGAGATCAGTAGGGCGGTGTACAGGGGTCAGCAGGGCAGTTTACAGGGGTAAGTAGGGCAGTGTACAGGTGTCAGCAGGGCAGTGTACAAGGGTCAGTAGGGCGGTGTACAGGGGTCAGCAGGGCAGTGTACAGGTGTCAGCAAGGCAGTTTACAAAGTGTCAGCAGAGCAGTGTACAAGGGTCAGCAGGGCAGTGTACAAGGGTCAGTAGGGCAGTGTACAAGGGTCAGCAGGGCAGTGTACAGGGGTAAGTAGGGCAGTGTACAGGGGTCAGCAGGGCAGTTTACAGGGGTAAGTAGGGCAGTGTACAGGTGTCAGCAGGGCAGTGTACAAGGGTCAGTAGGGCGGTGTACAGGGGTCAGCAGGGCAGTGTACAGGGGTAAGTAGGACGGTGTACAGGGGTCAGCAGGGCAGTTTACAGGGGTAGCAGGGCAGTTTACAAGGGTAAGTAGGGCAGTGTACAGGTGTCAGCAGGGCAGTGTACAAGGGTCAGTAGGGCGGTGTACAGGGGTCAGCAGGGCAGTGTACAGGGGTAAGTAGGACGGTGTACAGGGGTCAGCAGGGCAGTTTACAGGGGTAAGTAGGGCAGTGTACAGGTGTCAGCAGGGCAGTGTACAAGGGTCAGTAGGGCGGTGTACAGGGGTCAGCAGGGCAGTGTACAGGGGTAAGTAGGGCGGTGTACAGGGGTCAGCAGGGCAGTTTACAAGTGTCAGCAGAGCAGTGTACAAGGGTCAGTAGGGCAGTGTACAGGGGGTCAGCAGGGCAGTGTACAAGGGTCAGTAGGGCAGTGTACAGGGGTCAGCAGGGCAGTGTACAGAGATCAGCAGGGCAGTGTACAGAGGTCAGCAGGGTACTGTACAGGGGTCAGCAGGGCAGTGTACAGAGGTCAGCAGGGCAGTGTACAGGGGTCAGCAGGTCAGTGTACAGGTGTTAGCAGGGCAGTGTACTGAGGTCAGCAGGGCAGTGTACTGAGGTCAGCATGGCAGTGTACAGGGGTCAGCAGGGCAGTGTACAGAGGTCAGCAGAGCAGTGCACAGGGGTCAGCAGAGCTGAGGATTGGGGACAGCAGAGCTAAGAACAGGGGTCAACAGGGCAGGGGTTGACAACTGGCAGGGCAGAGGACAGGAGTTACTGCTGGCAGGGCAAAGGATAGGGGTCACGTTTGCAGGGCAGAGGACAGGGGCTACTGCTGGCAGGGCAGAGGACAGGGGTCACTGCTGGATGGGCACAGGCAGCAGAGCTCCTCCTCCCCATATAGACAGTTTTGGCTTTGGGGGGCACAACTAAAATGTGGAGGGGCATAGCACCCCCCAGATCTGGCCAAGTTCAACAGATGAGTGAGGCTAACCACCTGGATTGTTCCAGCAGAGGTGTACCTGTGAAGGAGGTGTCTACAGAGAATTCAGTCCTGTGGGTACTAATGACCCTGGGGGGAAGGAGAGACTTTTTAGTGAGAGATGGCTGCTTAAAGTGCTGTATATGCTTTCACATGTGACTACTGCAGGCTGTCCACTAAAAATGATTGACTATGTATTGCCAAGAGACTCTGGAATGTATGTCAATGTGATTTGCCATTTCCTGAGTACTATCAGTAAAGTGCAGCAACCTTATTATTGTGTGGATATTCCTTCCTTGGGTTATAAAGGTCAATGGTCGGAAATGTTATGTGGAGACCTGTGGCATGGAGTGGGGCACAACATGGCAGAAAGTTCGGTCTCAGCAGGAGGGACAGTGTTCTAACAAAGACAGAAGCGGGGGCAGGGACTTGCACTCTTCGTGCCATTACCAATCCATTGCACAGCTCCTCTTACAAGCTGGCTCTTTATGTTAATTACATTTTTAACAAGCAGGTCATCGCACACACTCACCAATACATTTTATGGTGGTAACGTTACCCGAAGAGCAGTATTCTCTGCAAGAAATACAAAAGAATTGTGAGTTTATTTTTATTTGTATTGTGGCCATTTTTTTAGAGACAGTCTGCGCCCTCTAAAGCTAACCAGATACTCTTTACTTATGTACATGACCCATATGAAGAATTCAGCAGATCTAAAAAAAAGACAGTATAACTCGCAGCTAGAAGAGTAGTTTCAGCTATAGTTTTGGAAAGGCTTCTTTACTGTGACAGCAGTGAAATATGAAATCCTTTTAATTAAAGGGGGTCCACTTTAATACATATCGCTGTAACTACTCTGACACCCCTAGAAGTGATATGGTTTGTACCAAGCTCTGAACCTGTTACCGTTGCTGGACAGCTGGATATCCATGTGATGTTTAACCCCTTCATGCCTAAGGGTAAAACAAATCCTAATGCCTAAGTAAAATGTTACAACTTTGACATGTGTTAGTAAAACCGTACATATCATCACAACTACTTTGTACATCCAGGTGGATTATACCTTCTTTTTTTTTTCAGGACAAATTGGGCTTTCATTTGGTGGTAAATGGTAATAGATATCTCCTGATTTTTATCAAAGGAAACCTGGCCCAAAATAGTAAACAAAATCATTTTTTTTAAATTTAGCTGTGTATTTCTTGTTACTAACATAACCTACCACCAAAGAACAACCCAAAATACATTTTCCAGCTCCTGATGATCACAGCGATACCATATATGTGTATGTTATTTGTTGTTTGTACCTGTAAGGGGCGGACTGACCATTTGGAAACTCGGGCACTGCCCGAGGGACCGGGGTCAGTAGGGGGCCCCATGAGATGCCCCTGGTACCTTTTTACATAGGCTTTTTTGAGTTTGGGCAAGGACACAGGGGCCCCATGATCCCCTATTGCCCAGGGGCCCCATGAGTTGTCAGTCCGGCCCTGGTACCTGTACTACAGCCCAGAAATAATAGTGTGAATTTTGTTTTTTGTTTTTTTTTTACCTAAAACACACTGACACTGACACTAACTGACACTGATACCAATTACAAAAAAAAAATCCTGACCATTGACCCTGACCTTGACCCAAACACTAACCATGGCACTGAACTAGATCAAACTTTGATTCAGGTATTTTTTTCTTTATTTTTTATTTTATTTTTTAATATTTATTTATCTTTTTTTTTTTTTTTACAGTTTTTTTTCCTCTCTGCAAGGAGAGAGAGAGATACAATGTATTTCTCTCCTCCATTCAGACAGAAAAAAAAAAATTAAGGGGGGGCAGGCTTCACAGTTACTGATCACTGTGATAGCCAATCAGAGGCTATTACAGTAATCATGTGACCTGGAATCAAAAGTCCTGGGTCCCGATAGTTAGAACGGGACCTGGGGCTCTCAGTGACACCCGGACTTTGTACTGGGAGCGCGCTGTGCGGCGCGCTCCCAGCACAAAGACAGGTACGCAAATATGCGGCCCCACGGAAAAAAAGCCCAGTTCTGTGAGGCCGCATATTTGTGTGACGTCGGCGTCCAGGGGTTAAAGCTGAACTCCGGGATCAGTAAATACAGTCTAAATAAAAGAGGCACATGTATTCTTCCTTGAATCCTGCTGTGCTTTGTATATTTCTTCCAGATCCAGTGTAAGACTTCCTGTAATAAAGACCGGTCACTGCTGCTCTCCCTTCTTGTGCAGGATGACCGGTCTTGTCTCCGCCCCTCCTGTAGTTTCTTGCAGGCAGCCTGCAGTGTGTGAGCCTGTTTGGTCCCTCCCATAGCTCTGCTCTCTGCACCGGCTACATACAGCACAGTGATGATGTCACCGCTAATTTTGCAAGGTAATATCTGAGTTTGCAAAGGCATTTTCTGCTCACAAAGTGGATTTACATCCTTTGTTACTATTGAGGAATATATTTAAATCAAAGTTGTTGCGCCCAAAGTTTAGATTTAAATTGATTTGTTTTTTCCCCTCTCTGACTGTGGCAGCTTACCTTTGCTGGATGACGTGGTGCATTAAGGTTGGCTGGTCAGAAGAATCTGAAGATTTGGTGACTGACACAAATTCTCTTCTAAACTGTTCTTCAATAGAGCGCAGAGGCACGGAGGAGGAGCTCTCAAAACTGCAATCAATCACAAGAATTTCATGACAATAAATGAATGTTTAAAATTAAAATGAGCTGAACTAAACGAGGACAAAACATTTCATAATTAAGTCATTCTTACTGTTATTATTTACAATATATTTATAGGGATATCATATTCATCAACACTTTACAGATTTCCTAATAGTCCGAGATGTGTACTTAGTAGGGCTGTCTGAAGAGAAGGGGGCATACAGTTCACCAATTGCCTGGAGTTTGCATGTTCTCTCTGTGCCTGCGTGGGTTTCCTCAAGGTACTCCGGTTTCCTCCCACACTCCAAAGACATGCTGGTAGGTTAATTGGCTCCTGTCTAAATTGTCCCTAGTATGTGTATGTATGAATGTGAGTTAGGGACCTTAGATTGTACGCCCCTTGAGGGTTAGGGACTGATGTGAATGTACAATATATATGTAAAGTGCTGCATAAATTGACGGCGCTATATAAGTACCTGAAATAAATAAATAAATTAGGGGTCTGTACAGGAAGATGGCTGCATGTAGAGCTAAAAAGAGTCTTGTCACTTCTCAAGGACGCTTTCTTCCCTTCATCTCTGCAGCTTAATTGACCCTCAAAAGCCAAACACCAGTCTTTCCTTCAGCATCCCTGTCATTGTGCTCTCTCCTTCTATCTGCATGATCCTAGGTAGCACATGCACACTGTGGCATGACAGCTTAGCTCCTTGTGCTGCCTCTCCTGTATGATTTCTGCACGTCAAATTCAGCTCCTCACACTGCTTGTGTTTAAAGCTGACCTCCAGCCTTCCCTTTAGTCTTGCACAGTTGTAGCGGCTCCTCTCCTGTGCTGAAGTTGCTTTCTCTGATTTTACTGCACACTGTGAGCGGCTCGCAATCTGCATTAGAAGCTGCAGCAAGCCACATAGAGCCCACCTCATTTCCATGCTGGTGAACATCCAGCATCATCCAGCTCTTTCCTTCCCAGCCTATTTCTGGCCTGCCCCTTTTATTCATTGGATTTCAGTTCTCTCTAACATGGACGGTCAGCATCACATGTGAGTGTTACGTAGGGTGGTCTGCATGCAAATACAACCTGCCTAGGAATGCCTACTCCTCCAGAATGACATCGACCCATCAAGGCATTTAGATATTTTCATAATTCCTCCCAACAGCCTGACCACTGCTTGCCTGGGGCTGACCGCTCTTGAGAGGAGTACTTAGGCAGGGTGCTGTTATGTGTACTCAGGAAGCTGTGTACAGCACCCTGGTAGTTGCTCCTATCAGCCATAGCCATGATGGAAGGAAGGAAAGGAAGGAAGGAAAGAAAGAAAGAAAGAAAGAAAGAAAGAAAGAAAGAAAGAAAGAAAGAAAGAAAGGAAAGAAAAAGAAAGAAAGAGAGAAAGAAAAGAGAGAGAGAGAGAGAAAGAAAGAAAGAAAGAGAGAAAGAAAGAAAGAAAGAAAGAAAGAAAAAGAAAGAAAGAAAGAAAGAAAGAAAGAAAGAAAGAACGAGCAGGAAAGGAGAAAGAAAGAAAGAAAGAACGAGCAGGAAAGGAGAAAGAAAGAAAGAAAGAGAACGAGCAGGAAAGGAAAAAGAAAGAAAGAAAGAAAGAGAACGAGCAGGAAAGGAGAAAGAAAGAAAGAAAGAAAGAAAGAAAGAAAGAAAGAAAAGAGAGGAAAAACTGCAGCAAATCGGCAAAGCAAAAGCTGTTTCAAAAGTAAGGGAAAATTTTTATTGACATCTAAACTGGTAACATTACAAAACCTGGATATAATTTCGGAAATGCTATTGGGCTTACTCAGTAACCCAATCAGAATTCACTTTACAGAAACCATTCCACGACAAAGTGAATTTTGATTGGTTGGTAATAAGAAAGAAAGAAAGAAAGAAAGAAAAAAGAAAGAAAGGAAAAAGAAAGAAAAGAAAGAAAGAAAAAAGAAAGAAAGAAAGAAAGAAAGAAAGAACGAGCAGGAAAGGAAAAGAGAAAGAAAGAAAGAAAGAAAGAAAGAAAGAAAGAAAGACAGAAAAAAGAAAGAGAACGAGCAGGAAAGGAAAAAGAAAGAAAGAAAGAACGAGCAGGAAAGAAGAAAGAAAGAAAGAAAGAAAGAAAGAAAGAAAGAAAGAAAGAAAGAAAGAACGAGCAGGAAAGGAGAAAGAAAGAAAGAAAGAGAACGAGCAGGAAAGGAAAAGAAAGAAAAGAAAGCAGAAAGAAAGAAAGAAAGAAAGAAAGAAAGAACGAGCAGGAAAGAGAAGAAAGAAAGAAAGAAAGAAAAAGAAAGAAAGAAAGAAAGAAAGAAAGAAAGAGAGGAAAAACTGCAGCAAATCGGCAAAGCAAAAGCTGTTTCAAAAGTAAGGGAAACTTTTTATTGACATCTAAACTGGTAACATTACAAAACCCTGATATAATTTCGGAAATGCTATTGGGCTTACTCAGTAACCCAATCAGAATTCACTTTACAGAAACCATTCCACGACAAAGTGAATTTTGATTGGTTGGTAATAATTCTACCCTTTGCTGCTCTTACTGTTTTGCTGAATAGGCCTGTATATATGTTTATGGAATAAAACACATTAAGCAGTCCCATTCCTCTAATTGTCCTACATGTGTAGAAGGATTACAAAAATTTGGAGCCTCTTCCCATCCTCCCTTATGTCATAGCTGTCAATGGTGGGAATGAGCTCAGGCACAGACTGACTCCCGATGATCTCACAGCTGACAAAAAAGACAGATTATTATGAGTTATCATTACTCAAACTTCACAAACCGAGACCAAATTGGTAAAGAAATAAGACCCATCAATAATTCTGCTCTCTGCTTTTCCACCCACTTGTTTCCTTCTAAAGTTTTACAAAGTTTTTTTGTCTTCCTGTCACCAACTAGGAAAAAGTCTAAATGTTTAAATATTTCCAGAAAGGCAAAGAAAATACTAATGTATTGTAATGTAATGTTCTAACTCAACATATCAGAACAAATAAAGAGGACCTTCACAAATGGGAAAATTTTCAGCTAAAGTCAATTTAGAACATACAGGAATGTGATTGGGATAATGGGGTCAAAATGAATTATATCTTTAAAGAAGAATTCCAGATATGGATATTTTTACATAGTTCGACCAATGAAACTATGCATATACTTCCAAAACAGCAATTCTCAACCAGGGTTCCATGTAACTTTAGGGTTTCTCAAAAGGTGTCTAGGGTTTCCTTGAGTTGTGACTAACTGACCTCCCATCTGATCGTCCCTGCATAGTTCCAGGGCTAGTGTCATTTGGCAGAGCCTGCAGCATGACACCAATGATCTTTTTCGCTGTTTGTAAGGGGGGCATTCTTCCCACTGGCCACCAATGTAAGGGGCATTCTTCCCACTGGCCACCAATGTAAGGAGCATTCTTCCCACTGATCATCAATGTAAGGAACATGCTTCCCACTGATCATCAATGTAAGGGGCATGCTTCCCACTGGCCACCAATGTAAGGGCATTCTTCCCACTGGCCACCAATGTAAGGGACATTCTTCCTACTGGCCTTCCCACCCAATCTAAGGGGCATTCATCCCACTGACCACCAATGTAAGGAGCATTCTTCCCACTGACCATCAATGTAAGGGGCATTCTTCCCACTGCTCACCAACGACCATAAGGGGGCATTCAATTCCAACTGTAAGGGGCATTCTTCCCACTGACCACCAATGTAAGGGACATTCTTCCCACTGATCACAATGTAAGGGACATTCTTCCCACTGATCACAATGTAAGGGACATTCTTCCCACTGACCACCAATGTAAGGGGCATTCTTCCCACTGGTCATCAATATAAGGGGCATTCTTCCCACTGGCCACCAATGTAAGGGACATTCTTCCCACTGACTACCAATGTAAGGGACATTCTTCCCACTGACCACAATGTAAGGGACATTCTTCCCACTGACCACCAATGTAAGGGGCATTCTTCCCACTGGTCATCAATATAAGGGGCATTCTTCCCACTGGCCACCAATGTAAGGGACATTCTTCCCACTGGCCACCAATGTAAGGGGCATTCTTCCCACTGACCACCAATGTAAGGGACATTCTTCCCACTGATCACAATGTAAGGGACATTCTTCCCACTGACCACCAATGTAAGGGGCATTCTTCCCACTGACCACAAATGTAAGGGGCATTCTTCCCACTGGCCACCAATGAAAGGGACATTCTTCCCACTGGCCACCAATGTAAGGGGCATTCTTCCCACTGGCCACCAATGTAAGGAGCATTCTTCCCACTGGCCACCAATGTAAGGAGCATTCTTCCCACTGATCATCAATGTAAGGGACATTCTTCCCACTGGCCACCAATGTAAGGACATTCTTCCCACTGAACACCAATGTAAGAGGCATTCTTCCCACTGACCAATGATTGAAAGGGACATTTTTCCCACTGACCACTAATTAAGGGGACCTTTTCCCAATGACCTCAGGAAACCCCCCGAGACCTGAAAATGATTTCAATGGCTCCTCTGAGGTAAGAACATTGAGAAAGGCTGCTCTAGAAGCTCCAAATCACTCCTTAAGTAGATGCAGTTTTCTAGGCTGCCACTAGGAGGCTTTGTCTCAAAATAGTGTGTAGTAACAGAGAATAGCTTAATCAGGTGCTAGGTCCCTTTTATCTAGAGCCCTCCTGTAGTGATGTCATGGATCAGTCAGTGCCCACATGTCTTTGTAATGTGACTGTAATGCCATTTTAAAGTAACCTCACTAAAATGCACCAATCCTAACTTTTTGTGTGGACATTCCTTTCTTGGAATATAAAGGCCAATGTCTGAGAATGTCGTGAGAAGGCCTCTGGCAAGGAGATGAGCTTAGGGTTAAAACCTCAAACAGGAGGGTTTTTGTTCTGGTAGCAAGAAGAAGTGGGACAGGGATTTGAGGGTGCTCTAGGCACCATTACACAACCATTTGCATCCCCCTTACAACTCCATTGGGAATTGCTACTCCAGTGATCTCCACTAGCTTCTGGGTCTCGTGCCGAGCAGCTGTCCTCCTCCATTGTGATCACAGGAGGTCGGCCGCAGGGCACAGGCACCATTCAGAGACTACTTTGTGTTTTCTCAATGAATGCAAAGCATTCTCTGATTAGATTAAGTGGATAGCGTGACGTCACCACTCCGCTTCTATACCTCGTCCACCTCGTTATCCCACCAATGAAATAAATCATGCAGTGTAGCATAAAACAATTCTTTACTAAACAATTCCTAATTACCTGGAAAACCCTAATTGCTTACATGTCAGATTCCCATACAATGCATTCCAGCTTTCAGAGCAGACTGTTTTCCAGGACCCAGCAACATAGGCTTGCAGCACCCCACTCCGACCACTTAGTCTCACTAAAGTAAAACATAAGAAAGGGTCATCAGAGGGAAAAGTAAACTAGCTGTTGTGACAGAAGCATGGAAACTGCATTTATTGGTTGAAATTACAGCCATGAACGGCAGCCTTAAATATTTCTGAATTCTAAAAGTCTCTATATCTTAGAGTTCTCTACAGTCCAAATATTTTCATCTTTTGAAAGTTTGATGCCCTGATAAAGGGAGCCCCCTAAAGCCCCAGAAACATTTTGGCTTGTCAATGGATTTTTTATCATTACACAAACTTTCTTACTTGGACGTTACGACTAATCTGGATTTTTCTTTATTCAGTATGTCATATACTGTATGGTGCCTCAAAACACTGCTTTGTGACCCTTTGGCTTAACAGTTGCCTACCAAAGTCATTGCACTGCTAGTCATGGATCCCTAACGTTCTACAGTATAATGCCTTAAGAATTCATATCTAAAAGTGCAAATACTGTAGAGCTAATAAAAGGTGCAGCGCTAAAATATTAAATATTAACACTTGAAAGGGTAAATAACGTTATCAAATAAAGTGGCAGTTCGTGGTAAAGTACTAGGTAAAAATCTGATAATAACGCCAAACTTCAGTGATGTGTCAGAGGTGTAGTAAAAATACGCACTCACCAGATGCGTATTTTAAATACGCATGTAAACAATATAGCCAGAGGTCCTCCTCTCAGGATGGGATGAATGAGATATGTCTTCCTTGGTGGGCGCAGGTTGGATCCAGCCAGAGGCCTCATCAGCAGCAGTGTTCACCTCTGGCTGGATCCAACCTGCGCCCACCAAGGAAGACACCTGTAAGGCTATATACCGACCAGAGAGAGGAGAATCCGTAAAGGTGTCTTCCTTGGTGGGCGCAGGTTGGATCCAGCCAGAGGTGAAGCTGCTGATGAATCCTGGATCCAACCTGCGCCCACGGAAGACATATCTCATTCATCCCATCCTGAGAGGGGGACCTCTGGCTATATTGTTTACATGCATATTTAAAATACGCATCTGGTGAGTGCGTATTTTTACTACACCTCTGGCACATCACTGAAGTTTGGAGCTATTATCAGATTTTTACCCAGCACTTTACCACGAATTGCCACTTTATTTGATACCTTTATTTATCCTTTTAAGTGTTAATATTTCATATTTTAGCGCTGCACCTTTTATTATCTGACTTGAGGAGGTTTTATTTGGTTACCTTTGTGTGCATCAGCAGCTAACTTCTAAAGCGCTCACTGACTTTACTCTATTTCAAATACTGTAGAGGACTTGGGATCTAGCTCTATAGAACTACCACCAGCCTAGTCTCTACTTATGACACTTGTCATTTGCAGGGGGGGGGCATATTTGCTGATGGAGTTCTTTCAAGAAGTGGGGGTATTTTTATAAGTGGAGGCACTTCAGGCTCTGCACCTCAACAATAGCATGCAGGGAAAGTACACAGGAAAATTATTTGAAAAACACCAAACAAGCTGCAAGTGACCTTGTTCCCCTGTTCAGCTCTACTTCCTCTCTATAAAATGTGCTCTCTACCACTTCTTCTGACAGTTGTGTCCTTTCTCCATAAACTCTCCTTCCTTCACCCCTCTTCTATACCCCACAATCTGTATTTATATCACCTTCACTTCTGTCCCCTCCCTATTACTGCAATCACCAACTCCTGCTAATGCTAAACCCACATGCCAATAAAACCTGCAGGATGCTGGGGCCATTGGTGTACTTAGGTTTTGTGCTGCCCTAGGCAACACAAAAGTCATCTGCCCCACGAACACCAACACCCCCCTCCCTTCCCCCTCTTGTGGAAAGAGCCTGACATTGACCAACAGCACCCTTACTCTGACAGCAACACCCTTGACCTTGTATTCTCCTACCTATGCTAGGTGTTGTCCTGGACTCTGAACTATCCTTTCGGCCCCACATCCAATCACTCTCTACGCACCATCTCCAAAATAAACCCCTTCCTAAGCAGTGACACCAAAAAAAACTCCTAGCCTACTCCCTGATCATCTCTCGACTTGACTACTGCAACTCCCTTCTCATTGGATTTATTTTATTTTTTGGGTCCTGGGTTCTGAGTGCAACAAACCTTTCATTTTTTATGAAAAGTCCGCTTTTAAGGGAAAATGTTCTTCTCATGCAGCATTCTTCATCCTAAGACCTCCATTACCAAGCAACACGTTGTTTAAATGTATAAATCTCATTCCACTTACCACATCTAAGTTCATCATCTCCATCCGGACAGTCGTAAACTCCATCACATCGCTTTGATTTCTGAATACACATGGAAGAGGATTGGCAGCGTATTTTTCCCGGGCAAGTGAAGTGAACTGGAAGAGAGGTGGGAAAAAAGTCAGTGTAAATTTCCTTTTTTCCCACCTCTCTTCCAGTTCACTTCACTTGCCCGGGTATGCCCCGGTATTGAAGTGGTTAAGGCTATAAGGAGGGCTTGTGTTAGGGTTACAAAATGAAAAAGTGTTAGGGTTACAGAGAGGGGGAGCGTTAGGGTTACAGGCAGGGGCGGACTGACAACTCATGGGGCCCCTGGGCAATAGGGCCCAAGTGTCCTTGCCCAAACTCAAAAAAGCCTATGAAAAATGTACCAGGGGCATCTCATAGGCCCCTTACTGACCCTGGGCCCTCGGGCAGAGCCCGAGTTTCCAAATGGTCAGTCCACCCCTGGTTACAGGGAGGGGGAGTGTTAGGGTTACACAGAGAGATAGCATTGGGGTTACAGGGAGGATTAGTGTTACGGTTACAAAGAATGATAGTTTTTGGTTTTCAGGGAGGGATAGTGTTGGGGTTACATGGAGGGTTAGTGTTGGGGTTCCAGGGAGGGATAATATTAGGGTAAAGGGAGGGTTATTGTGAAGGTTACAGAGTGTGATAGTGTTGGGGTTACAATGAGAGATAGTGCTGGGATTTCAGGGAGGGATAATGTTAGGGTAACAGAGGGCGATAGAGTTGGAGTTACAACTCTATCGTGCTGGGATTACTTGGAGGGTTAGTGTTAGGGTTACAGAGAGTGATAGTGTTGGGGTTACAATGAGGGATAGTGCTGGGATTACTTGGAGGGTTAGTGTTAGGGTTACAGAGAGAGGGATAGTGATAGTGTTGGGGGGTTACAGGTGAGGTTGGGGTTTCGGTAATGTTAGGGTAACAGAGAGCGATAGTGTTGGGGGAACAGAGAGGAAGGGCTACAGGGAGGGATAGTGTTCGCTTTACACAGAGGGATAGTGCTGGAGTTACAGGGAAGGGTAGTCTGGGGATTAACCAGAAGAGATAATGTTAGGGATGCAGGGAAGGTTAGTGTTAGGGTTACCAAGAGGATTAGTATTAGGGTTACCAAGAGGGTTAGTATTAGGGTTACAGGATGGAATAAGGTTAAGATTGCAGTAAGGGTTGGACTACAGAAAGGGAGGTTATTGCTAGGGTTACAGGGATGTAGGGTTAATAGAAGGCATAGTGTAAGGCTGATGATGTTCGTCCATCGTGTTCGAAGAGGACATTGACATCTAACAGCTAATCAGCTGTCCACGGCCTGTCTGTAGGTGGCTGGTAAGGCCTATATGGGCACAAAATGTTCTGCCACAGACATATGTGGGCACCACTGTTGCAGCATTTGCAGCTCTGGCTTTGCGGAGTGCTCGCTTCTCTTGTGCTATGGTTTTTATTCTCTCCTCAAATGTCTGGCAGCATTAGCGGATCAATGTGCGCCATGTCGATCGATCTTGTGCCAGCGTTTCCCAGGAGGTGATGTCAATATCCAGGGACTTGAAGGAGGTTTTCAATGTGTCTTTGTATCACTTCTTTTGTCCCCGTGTGATCGCTTTCCTTGAGACAGCTCACCATAGGGGAGCATCTTAGGCATGCGTTGGTCTGGCATCCTTGCAACATGGCCTGCCCAGCATGCCTGGGCTTTCATCAGGAGGGTGTGAACTGATGGCAGGCCTGCTCTGGAGAGGACTTCTCTGTCTGGCATCTTGTCCTGCCAACAGATCCTTAGAAGTCTGCAGAGGCAGGTCATGTGGTTCAATTGCCTAGCATGCCTCCTGTATAAAGTCCAAGTCTCACTGGCATACATCACTAGCACTACTGATCAGTAGACTTTGAGCTTTGTGGCAAGGCTTATTCCACGGCGGTCCCACACGATGGTCAGTAGTCTGCTAAATGCAGAACTTGTCTTGGCTATTCTGCAGGCCACCTCGTTGTCAATTGTCACTGCGCGGGATAGGGTGCTGCCAGGGTATGTAAATTGGTTCACTGCTTGCAGCTTTTGTCCCTTCACTGTGATGGTGGGCTCTTGGTGTTGGGCTTTCAGGGCTGGCTGATGCATCACTTTGGTCTTCTTTGTGTTGATGAATGCAGCAAATTTGTCCACACTGGCTTGCATTTCCTGCTCTGATCCAGCATTCAGAGCACAGTCATCAGCAAAAAGGAGGTCTCGCAGCACAGTCTCCTTTACCTTGGTAACAGCCTGGAGTCTTCTCAGGTTGAACAGTTTCCCATTGGTCCTGTATCTCAGGCTAACTCCCAGGGAATTGTTCTGGAAGGCGTCTGGCAGCATGGCTGAAAACATTATGCTGAAAAGGGCCGGTGCCAGCACACAACTTTGCTTGACGCCGTTTGTAACAGGATACGCCTCTGAAACTTCTTTGTGGTCCAAAACACGAGCCATCATGCCGTTGTTGAACTGACGTACCATTAGGATGAATCTGCCAAGGCATCCAAACTTTGACATGATGCTCCACAGACCTTCGTGATTGACAGTGTCAAAGCCTTGGTGAGATCCACGAAGGTGGTGTACAATTCACGGTTCTGCTCTTGACAATTCTCTTGGAGCTGTCAGGCTGCGAAGATCATGTCCACAGTGCCCCGCTCTTTGCGGAAACCACACTGTGTCTTGGGTAACAAACCCTGTTCCAGGTGGTCAATCAGGCGGTTCTGCAACACTCGTGCAAGGATCTTGCCTGCGATGGAAAGCAGTGATATTCCTCTATGATTATCGCAGACTTGTTGATTCCCTTTCTTCTTTTAGAGATGTACGATGGACGCATCTTTCAGTTCCTGAGGAATGGATCTTTGATTTCAGAAGGACTGGAACAGCAGAGTGAGTCTATCGACAAGCACTGCACCGCCATCTTTGTAAACTTCTGCTGGGACAGCATCAGATCCTGGGGCCTTGCCACTGGACAGCTGGCTGATAGCTGGTAGGGTTTCAGTCTTTGTTGGTGGGGCATCCAGGCTGTGGTTAATATCCGCCTGGGGCATTCTGTCGATCGCCTTGTTGTTAATGGAAGATGGGCAGTTCAGTACAGATTGGAAGTGCTTGTCCCAATGCTGTAGGATCAGAGTCTTCTCAGTAATGAGAGCTGCACCATATGAGTCTAGTAGAGGGGAGCTCCCTGAGGGCTGAGGTCCGTACAAGGATCTGAGGGCTTCTTAGAACCATTTGGCATCATTTCTATCAGCAAACTTCTGAATTTTATTTGCTTTGGCACTCAACCAGGAGTCCTGCATCTTGCAAAACTTGCTCTGTACGGTTCTGCGAGTGTTGTTGAAGGCATTTTTCTTAGCTGTTGATGACGGGTTGTTCTGATAAGCAAGATAAAGGCGGTGCTTCTCAGCAAGTAGGATCTTGATCTCATCATCATTTTCGTCAAACTAGTCCTGGTGTTTCCTGTGTAAGGGTCCAAGAACCTTTAGTGCAGAAGCGTGCACAATATCCAGGAAGAGTTCCCAGTCCCAGTCAGCATTTCCCTCTAATTGCAGCTCTGAAAGTTAGTTGTCAAGATCTTCTGCTAGTGAAGCTGCTGTGTTGGGGTTCCTCAGTTTACTGACGTTAATTTGTTTCATCACAGATTTGTTTCTCTGCGAATGTCTCTTTGGCTTAATGTGAAAGCTTAATTTGGAGTTGAGCCTGTGGTCGGTCCAACAGTCAGCACTCAGCATGGCCTTGGTCACCTTTACATCCTGTCTGTCTTTCCTTTGCATGATGACATAATCAATAAGATTCCAGTGCTTGGAGCGTGGATGCATCCAGAATGTCTTTTTGCGAGGGGGCAGGCGAAAGATGGTATTGGTGATGAGCAGATCGTGAGCTGCACATGTCTTCAGTAGTAATATGCCATTGCTGTTACATTTGCCGATTCCATTTTTTCCAATGACGCCATCCCAGGCAGAGTGATCGGATCCTACTCTCGCATTGAAATCATTAAGTAGAATCAGCCTGTTGGTGCGCTTCATGGATGAGAGTAGGGCATCGAGATCTTCATAAAACTTGCATAGGTGCATAGGAGCTGATCAGTGTTGCTCATTTTCCTCTCAGTAGTGGGAAATGCAGTGTCGTGAGTCAGTCTTTCACGTCCTTGAGAAGACTGGCAAGTTTGCGGACAAGATGATTCTTAATCGCAAAGCCAACTCCAGATGCACAGCGTTCATTACTGCTGTGTCCACACCAGAAGAAGGTATAACCGCCTCCTGTTTCTGTAAGCTGACCTTCGTTGGCTAGACAAGCTTCACACAAGGCCGCAACATCAATCTTGAATCTCGTGAGCTCTCTGGCGACCAGGGCTGTTCTTCTTTCTGGTCGATCTGCTGAGGGGTTGTCTTGAAGAATGTGTACGTTCCATGTGCCAATAGTGAGTGGTGTCACCTTTTCTTTGAAGTTATGTTATTCGACCGCATGAAATAGGATCCCCTCCAGCTGTGGTAAGCTGGCCAGGGTTCTGTGAAGCAACAATGTTTAGGGCACCTTTTCTAGCCCCTTCTTCTTGCTACGGAGGTGAGCAGTGTGGTCCTAAAGAGGGCTGCTCAGTCACTCAGGTAGACGCCGAATCCAGCTGTTGCTGCGGTCATCAGAAAAATGACCATTAGACCTGTGCCGCCTGTGTGCAGGTCCACGGCTACAGCTCCCAGTGTATCCACACCTGCTGCTTCGTTGCTCACCCATCGCCACAGGACTTTGGTGGGAGTTGGCGGATGTCAAGACTTGTGCATGAATTGGATTAAAGTGAGGGAGAAGTGTGCATAGTCAGCCTCACTCTCTCTTCCCAGATTCCATTTTTCTCCAATGGAAGGACAAAAGCCAAGACAGTTGGGGATGGGCTGGGTGCAAATGGTTGACCAGGGCGCCTTTTGCGTCTTGCCATGCTCTTAGCGTACCACATCACTTGTGGAGACCGCCTTCATGAATGTTGTCCTATTCTAGTAGGTTTCATCAGTTCAATCCGCTGGAATCTGTCTTCACATCCTTGGGATAGACAAGTCCCTATCTCACCAAAGGACAATGACCCAACGGCTACTCTCAACCTGGTTTGGCCAGCTTGTTAAAGATGTTTCCCGGGGTGTGGCCACTGCACATGCTACAGCTACTAGGAGCCTCAGGTGAGAGCTGAGTGACAGGTGGGGACCAAAGGTGGACGAGCTGCCCTGAAAGGACACAACCTGCCTTACACCAGAGGTGCTACCCCTCCCTGCACACCCCATAAGGCTACAAGGAGGGTGAATGCAATAGTTACAGAGATGTCTAGTCAGGCTTACATGAAGGGATAGTGTTGGGGTGGGTTAATGTTAGGGTTCCACGGAGGGTTAGAATTAGGTTTACAGGAAATAGAGGGTTAAGATACAAGGAGGAAGGCGGTTAGGGTTATAGTTTACAGGAAGGGTTATAGGGGGTTAGTGTTAGATACAGGGAGGAGGAAGGCGGTTATAGGGGTTATGTTAGGGATGGGATTAGTTTTGGTTACAGGAAGGGTTAGGGTTATAGGGGGGTTAGTGTTAGGGTTACAGGGATGATTAGTTAGGGTTAGTTAGTTTGGATTGTAGGAAGGGTTTGGGCTAGGGTTATAGGGGGTTAGTGTTAGGGTTACAGGGATAGTTAGTTTTGGTTACAGGAAGGGTTAGGGCTATAGGGGGGTTAGTGTTAGGGTTACAGGGATGATTAGTTAGGGTTAGTTAGTTTGGATTGTAGGAAGGGTTTGGGCTAGGGTTATAGGGTGTTAGGGTTAGTGTTAGGGTTACAGGGATTAGTTTAGGGGGGTTTTTAGGTTACAGGGATGATTAGTTTTGGTTAGGGGTTAGGGCTATAGGGGGGTTAGTGTTAGGGTTACAGGGATGATTAGTTAGGGTTAGTTAGTTTGGATTGTAGGAAGGGTTTGGGATAGGGTTATAGGGGGTTAGTGTTTAGGATTACAGGGATAGTTAGTTTGGGTTACAAGAAGGGTAAAGGGAGTGATATTGTTAGAGTTAAAGGTTAGTGTTAGGGTTAAAGAAATACTGTCCACTAAAAGCTAATGTTTCATAGGACAATACCTAAAGGAGTAGAAATGCCAAGAGCTGGCCAACCTGAAACATCCTCAGTACTAAGGGACCAGGCAGTAGCTGAACTATTCTCTCCACTGTTTGCACTTAGCTTGGGATATGGAGAAACAGGGTCTGGCGGGCATACAGCGCCTTCCAGCCATTAGGATACACTCAATGGTTCTATCTTACCCCCACCGACTGCTAGCATTCACCTGGGATACAGTAAGGTGGGGGTCTATGATACACTGTTGACACTGACCCCACCTATCCATATCGTAAATTTACCATAAATGCATGCAAGGGTGTAGAGGACCATTCGTGCTTGCTAAGAACTAAGTCTTTATAATTGTGTAAATTGCAATGAACCCATTTAAATGCCCACAAATACCTTCTAAGTTCTGATATCCTGTAAGCATAACTGATTTTCCCGCACTAGTTTTAGACAATCCAGAGCTCTGGAGAAGCCAAGTGCCCCTTTTCCTCTGGAGAAGTCTAAACCGTTGTTTATGACACTTTTATAAAGCCCACTAAGCTGACTGCACTTGCTCCGATCTGAACTCTGCAGCTTGCAAAGGGACCTGGAGAAGATTAATGCGCGCCTAAATTGTACAGGGACCAGACGTGGCAACCGCTTGACGCTGCCTATTTACCGAGTACAGAAAGTGCAGCAAAGTTATCCGCCGTAATGAATGCCTACTGTCCAATTAAGCCATTAATACACAGATAAACAAGCTATCAAGCCATCGGCCATTCATTGCGCCCGTCAGACGGCGAAGGTGAGAAAGGTCAGCCTGCTCTGCTTAATGAAAAAGAGGACGCTAACTGTCTCTATTCTTCCTTTCAAGAGGATTGTAAAACATTTAATCCTTGACAATTTAATGGAGACACCACTAAATAATGAATAACACTCACCAATCAGGCCCGTAGCAATCGCCAGAGCAATAACGAGGACGGCGAAGAGGACGATAATGAGATATTTCACAGGGAGAAGAGGATGGCACTTGGACGATTCGTCATTTTCCTTGTTTTCTGTAAAGAGATTAATGCAAAACTGATGAAGATGCGGGAGATGGAGTCACGCTGCTCTGCGCGGTGTCTGGGCCATTCATACCTATGCATTCAGAAAAGACATCTGTTTTACCAGCATTTTCAATGAGTGTGTTTTGATGCCTCTTAACGCTTTTAAGAGGCTTTTAGGTGCAATGTGGTTCAGCGTGCTTGTGCTACTTTCGAGTATATGTCAATTCACAGCCAGGAAATTGTTCAAAGCTCCTTCATTCAAATGCACACAGCTAAGGGATTTGGCAGCTACAGACCCATCCTGTACCCACTTGACAGAAGAATACCAGACAACATAACATGGGTTCAATCAGGGCCTTTTTTTCAGCGGGTACGTGGGGGGGCACCTTCAGTTCTGAACAGGGGCGGACTGACAACTCACGGGGCCCCCGGGAAATAGGGGATCATGGGGCCCCTGTGTCTTTGCCCAAACTCAAAAAAGCCTATGAAAAAGGTACCAGGGGCATCTCATGGGGCCCCCTACTGACCCCGGGCCCTCGGGCAGTGCCCGAGTTTCCAAATGGTCAGTCCGCCCCTGGTTCTGAATGTATATAATGACAAGGGTTGTTGGAAGGTCTGTTGATGCTGGTTGCTGAGGGATCTATTGTCACTGGAGGGGATCTGTTTTTGCATGGTGCTCTATTATGCTGGAGAGGTCTGTTGTTGCTGGTGGGGAATCTATTGTTGCTGGAAAGGATCTACTGTTAAAAGAAGGGGTAAATTGTTGTTGGCTGCTGCTGGGAGATCTGTTGTTGGTGCTGGGGGTCTATTTTTGCTGGGGTGGTATTTTGTTGCTTGTGGGGGACTAATGCTGCTGGCTGCAGGGGATATATTTTACTGCTTTTCCTGCTATCATCAACACATTTCATATAAATTACATAGCACCACAAAATTATACTTGGCTGTGTATTCTCTATAAGGATCTGTTGTTGTTGCTGCTGGGGGTCTATCTTTCTCGTGTGGTATTTTGTTGCTTGGGGGGGACTAATGCTGCTGGCTGCAGGAGATCTATTTTACTGCTTTTATTGCTATCATCAACACATTTCATATAAATTACATAGCACCACAAAATTATACTTGGCTGTGTATTCTCTATAAGGATCTTTTGTTGCTGCTGGGCGGTCTATGTTTCTGGGTGGTATTTTGTTGCTTGGGGGGGGGGGCTAATGCTGCTGGCTGCAGGGGATCTATTTTACTGCTTTTCTTGCTATCATCAACACATTTCATATAAATTACATAGCACCACAAAATTATACTTGGCTATGTATTCTCTATAAGGATCTGTTGTTGCTGCTGGGGGTCTATGTTTATGGGATGGTATTTTGTTGCTTGGGGGGACTAATGCTGCTGGCTGCAGGGGATCTATTTTACTGCTTTTCTTGCTATCATCACATTTCATATAAATTACATAGCACCACAAAATGATACTTGGCTGTGTATTCTCTATAAGGAGCAGTACTGGGAGGTGGGTAAGGGTAGAACCAAGGGACTGTGCTCAGGGGTGGGTAGGGGGGCACAGACAAGATGTAATTCAGAAGGGGGGAGTTCCTGTAGCTATTCTCTGAGAAAAAAATCCCTGGCTTCAGTTGGGTAAAGCAGTCATTTTTTTTAAATGTTATTACATTTTTACTTCCTCAAAACATAATAAAAGTACAAAAAGTACAAACATACAAAATTACTGAAAGTACCAATGAAGACAATTAAAATTTGAGGGTAAAACCAGGCCACCCCTGACCAATCTTCTACACAAGTGCAATGGTAGAAAAACAGCTAAACCCAAATTAAATCCAAAAGCAAACATTAATTATATTGCAGCTTACCAATTCATAGATGTGATGTGTGCATTCCTTTTTTTTTTTCTTAGGTGTTCTTTCTCATATTTTTACTTGATGATCCAACCTTAAAGAATGTTGTTTTTCAACAGAACAAGTTGTCTTGCAGATGTATCAGTTAGAGCAGGGGTGCTCAGCCTGTGGCCCGTGCAGCCCTGTGATGTGGCTCACCACCTCAAACCAGGGTCGGCAACCCGCTGATCGTGATCTGGGCCAGCGGGAACGTGGGGGTAACACAGTACAGGCACATTCAGTACTGAATGTATATACAGTTGCAAGAAAAAGTATGTGAACCCCTTGGGATTACGTGGAGTTTTGCATGAATTGGGCATAAAATGTGCTCTGAACGTCATCTAAGTAACAACAATAGAAGAACACAGTCTGCTAAACATAATACTACACAAACATTAGATGTTGCCATGGTTTAATTGCACATAACATGTAAACATTCACAGTGTAGGGAGGAAAAAGTATGTGAGGCCCTAGCTTAATGACTTCTCCCAGAGATAATTGGAGCCAGGAGTGAGCCAACCTTGACTCCAATCAGTGTGATGATATTGGATGTGTTGCTGACAGCTGTCCTGCCCTTAAAAAACACACACCTGTTTTGGGTTTACTGGTTTCAAGAAGCACTGTCTGATGTGAACCATGCCTCGCAGAAAAGAGCTCTCAGAAGACCTACGATCAAGAATTGTTGACTTGCATGAAGCTGGAAAGGGTTACAAAAGTATCTCCAAAAGCTTTGATGTTCATGTGTCCACGGTAAGACAGACTGTATACAAATGGAGAAAGTTTAGCACTGTTGCTACTCTCCCTAGGCGTGGTTGTCCTGTAAGAATGACTGCAAGAGCACAGCGCAGAATGCTGCATAAGGTAAAGAAGAATCCCAGAGTGTCAGCTAAAGACCTACAGAAATCTCTGGCACATGCTAACATTTTTGTTGATACATCTACAATAAGGAAAACATTAAAGAATGGAGTACATGGGAGGACACCACGGAGGAAGCCATTGCTGTCCAAAAAGAATATTGCAGCACGTTTGAAGTTTGAAAAAGAGCACCTGGATGTTCCACAGCACTACTGGCAAAATATACTGTGGACAGATGAACCAAGATTGAGTTGTTTGGGAAGAACACACAACACTATGTGTGGAGAAAAAAGGCACAGCACACCAACATCAAAACCTCATCCCCACTGTGAAACATGGCGGAGGGAGCATCATGGTTTGGGGCTGCTTTGCTGCCTCAAGGCCTGGACGGATTGTTGTCATTGATGGGAAAATGAATTCCAGAGTTTATCAAGACATTTTGCAGGAAAACGTACGACCATCTGTCCGTCAACTGAAGCTCCGCAGAGGATGGGTGATGCAACAGGACAATGACCCAAAGCATACAAGTAATTCAACAAAACAATGGCTGCAACAGCACAGAATACGCCTTCTGGAGTGGCCCAGTCAGAGTCCTGACCTCAACCCGATTGAAATGCTGTGGCATGACCTTAAGAGAGCGATTCACACCAGACATCCCAAGAATATTGCTACACTGAAACAGTTTTGTGAAGAGGAGTGGTCCAAAATTACTCCAGATTGTTGTGCAGGTCTGATCTGCAACTACAGGAAACGTTTGGTTGAGGTTATTGCTGCCAAAGGAGGGTCAACCAGTTATTAAGTCCAAAGGTTCACATACTTTTTTCCTCCCTGCACTGTGAATGTTTACATGTTATGTGCAATTAAACCATGGCAACATCTAATGTTTGTGTAGTATTATGTTCAGCAGACTGTGTTCTTCCATTGTTGTGACTTAGATGACGTTCAGAGCACATTTTATGCCCAATTCATGCAAAACTCCACGTAATCCTAAAGGGTTCACATACTTTTTCTTGCAACTGTAATGACAAGGAGTGTTGGAAGGTCTGTTGATGCTGGTTGCTGGGGGGGGTCTATTGTCACTGAAGGGGATCTGTTTTTGCACGGTGGTCTATTGTGCTGGGGAGGTCTGTTGTTGCTGGTGGGGGTCTATTGTTGCTGGAAAGGACCTACTGTTAAGGGAGGGTCTATTGTTGTTGGCTGCTGCTGTGAGATCTGTTGTTGCTGCTGGGGGTCTATTTTTGCTGGGGTGGTATTTTTTTGCTTGGGGGGGCGACTAATGCTGCTGGCTACAGGGGATCTATCTTACTGCTTTTCTTGCTATCATCAACACATTTTATATAAATTACATAGCACCACAAAATGATACTTGGCTGTATATTCTCTAAAGGAGCGGTACTGGGAGGTGGGTAAGGGCAGTGGTGTATTTAGGTTCCGTGCTGCCCTAGGCAACACAAACATTGGCTCCCCCCATGGAAAGACCCTGACACCGGCCAACACCCGCCTCCCCCATGAAGGGAGGCTAACATTGACCAACAACACCCCAGCCCCCCCCCCGCCCCCTCCCAAGACAGCCTTCTACTACCACCACCCCCCATACACTGGCAAGGGCAGTGGTGTATTTAGGTTCCGTGCTGCCCTAGGCAACACACACATTGGCTCCCCCCATGGAAAGACCCTGACACCGGCCAACACCCGCCTCCCCCATGAAGGGAGGCTAACATTGACCAACAAAACCCCCCCCCCCTCCCGAGACAGCCTTCTACTACCACCACCCCCCATACACTGGCAACCCCCCACCCTGACAACAGATAAGACACTCACCTTCACAGCTCCGGACATCCCTGGGAACAAGAGTCAGGCTCTACATGCACCATCAAGCAGCCTGCAACCTCTCTCAGAACCCACTTGGCCCCCATGCTGCCTGTGTCCCTTCTCCCTTTACTTCTTTTTGGGACGGCGCTGCCCCCCTGAAAAATGCTGCTGCCCCCCTGAAAAATTCCGCCCTAGGCAAATGCCTTGTGGTAAATACACCCCTGGGTAAGGGTAGAACCAAGGGACTGTGCTCAGAGGTGGGTAGGGGGGCACAGACAAGATATAATTTAGAAGGGGGGAGTTCCTGTACCTATTCTCTGAGAAAAAAAAAAGCCCTGGCTTCAGTTGGGTAAAGCAGTTTGTTTTTTTTTACTATTTTATTAAATTTCTACTTCCAACAAAACATAATAAAAGTACAAAAAGTACAAACATTACTGAAAGCACCAAAGAAACAATTAAA